CCCCAACTTGGTATTATGAAAAAAAACCCCATAAACCACCAAGAATCGCCAAATAACGTCACCTGCCTTCAGGGTGTGGGGTAAGCCAGGGAGGAAAGCTGCCTGGTTAATCTTACTGACCTCTTCAGCTTCCTTCGGTCCCCTGGTGCATGTGGCACAGCTAAATGGCATCGGCCAGGTGAGAAAATGGATCGTAAAATGGATTCGCATCACTCAGGTTTGAAATGAGAAGAGGAAACAATGCACACGCTGCTCATCAGGATCTTCAACATGTTCACTAGGGTTGTAGGTGTACCTGCAGGATGCAAGAAAAAAAGGTTCAGGTAGTGTGTTGGCATTTTTTTCTTTCTAGTTAGGAAAAGGTCTCACATAGGTTTCTCCCAGAGCAGAATATAAGGAGTAAAAATCTGATGTCTGTGTTAATAGCAGGGAAAAGTCAGAGGTCTGCCTGACAAACTGATTTGCAATCCAACCTGGGAAGGACAAATCATGTTTAAAAAAAAAAAAAAAGGAAATTTTATTTCTAAATACAACAAAATGGAATCTTCTGTGTTACACATCAGTACTTAAAAGAGAGATCCCAGCCAAAAAATGGTGACAGTTCAGCAGAGGTAAGGGATTGCTGAGCAGTAGCTAGAAAACAAATTCCTTTCTTGATATTTATTTACTTCTACCAGTTAAACTATTTACTTCTAACCAGTTAAAGTTGGGGATGGGAAGGACCACCCTTCCTTACATGAATCTGTACAGATTCAAGACTGAAGGACTAAAAGCTGTCTGCTGCTGGTACAGAAGAGAATCTCTACCTGAGGAAAACATCTTTCCTGTTCAAGAGGCAGGTGGTGGGGGAGAAATACTCTGTACTGCAGTAGCTTACACCAGAAGCAGGAAAGGTCTCGGAAGCAACCTGGATAATAATGCACCAGCTCAGCACAAGCAGATTAGTTCTCCTTATCAGACAGATTTTGTGTTGATCTCGCTGCTACCACAGCGTGTTGTTACCTAGCACCACAGCTAGCTGGTGGAGAGGCAAGCTAGAGCTACTCAGCTCCTTTTAAACTTTGCTCCAACAGAGCAGATTGGTCTCAGACATCCCATTTCAGTGCTGACTTTGAGGAGTGGCTGAAATTGAGTCCCATTTGCAGTCAAGACCCTATACAACCAGCCTTTTTAGCTGTGAAGATGATTTACTCATGTTTTCCAGGTGAAACCACTCTTGACACATCAAAGCAACTGGCAGGAGGTACAGATAGTCTTAGTCACCTCCATGGAGTGTTCCTTTTCAGGCTGCCCACCTGTTTTTCTGGCATTACTCCTTTAATTGATGATCTTTCTGTTTAAAACAGAAAACATGAAGCCCAAATGCATATTCCCCAGTAACAAAGTCTTCAGCTCGCTATCTATCCAGAATAACCTAAGAAAATAAGCACAGAGACCCTGTGTCTACCACTTGCAGCAAACAGTGTCTCTTACTTCTGCTACAGCTTTACTGTTGTTATTTATAATGTAGTTGTGTTTTGAATTTTCCCCAGAGTGGGCTATTTCTTATCTTTTCTCTCCTTTGCTTTCTGAAGGCATCTAACTATAGAAAACCTGGCTTAAGTACAGCCCAGCGGAAGAAAAGTGGCTTGAAACCTGAACTTACAGAAGAGCAAAAGCAGGAGATCAGAGAAGCTTTTGATTTGTTTGATACTGATGGATCTGGAAGCATCGACATAAAAGAACTGAAGGTTTTCAAACTATTTTGTTGTTGGATGGAAATATGTTTGATCTCAAAACTGTAGCTGCTTTTTCTGTTTGTCCAGCCCTAACTATTTTTAAATAGTTTTGGAGTACAAACAAGAGTAATGACTTGCTGTCATGACTGAATTTGGGGTGTACTACATGGTTAACCTGAGAAAGCTCTGTGTGTAATACCTCAGAGCAGACAGGCTTCTCTAACACACGGATAGTACGTCAGATAGCTTTGGATATCTGAGCACTACAGGAACTAAACAGCTCCTTTGCTTAGGTACACACAGTACGCATTTCGGTTTTCATGACTGGCTAAGATCATCGTTTCTGGGAATTGGACTTGTGTTGTTCTGTGATCAATGTCAGAACATCAGATTTTTTCTTCATCTCAGAACTAAACACACAGATTTTGCACACATTCAGGAAAGATATAAACCTATTTTCATACACCTAATCAAAAAATTACCTGGTTTTTTAATTTAAAAAAGAACAAAACAGAGATCTGAGTTGCATTTCAGTAGCAATTCAGGTAGTACTTGTGCACACTTGCACAGGGATACACACAGTAGTACCAGGAGGAAGATTATTCTTACTTCCCTCCCTGTGTTTTAAGCCTAAACCTTTTATCTTCATTATCTCCTTGACCTTGATTTCTCACATACACGCACACTGCCTCCATTTCTGCATATGTAACCTAGAAGCATGAGGTACCTAAGCCTGTACCTTATCTCAGGATTTATTTGGAAATACTTATGCTTGGTTAAGGAGAGCATGTTCTCTGAATGCAGATGATCCATGTTCAAATACAGTTCTTAACATGGACTGAAATGTTTTAACATCAACCATTTGTGCTAGGTTTTTCTTTTTCAAAATTAATTCAAATTGATGGATATTTTACCATAGAAAGTGTTCCCTTCTGAAAGACAAAAGGGAACATTTTCTGTTGTCCCATCACAAGACACTGGTCAGAGAACACACTTCAGTTAAATGTTAAGTTTCTGGTGAGTTGGCGCTTCCCAGCTGAAGAGTGTTTAGCGAGAAAATTTCTGCCCAATGTTGATTTCCCCTAGAGTATAGAGAAAGAATGAACTTTGACAGTTCAAATCTTCTAGTTACATGTTCTTGAAACTTCAGGTCTCTGAATTAAATATACCATAATCATCTGGCACATCAGGACTGTGAAATTACTAATAAACACCTAAGTAGCAAAATCGTTGTTCTAGGCTGGTGAAATGCCAGAGCCTGGTTTTAAACAATGTTCATATTAAGCACTTGTACAACCATCTCCATGACTGTTTTTACAGTGATACTTGTGCTCTGTAAGGCTCTGAAGGTTTGCTTTTCTTTTCCTTAACTACCACCACAGCAGTCAGGCTTTGCTTTGCTGAGGCTGAGACACAAAGTCAGTTCCCACCCCTGCCGCTCCCCTCGCCCTGCCACCTAGCCTCAAGCGCATCTCGATTTCTTGTCTCTCTGTGTACTGGACTGTGTAAGTTAACTGCATGTAATTCTACACCCATCACAATTCATGGGCATTCTGCCCTAAATTTCAGATGGGGCGAGATCACATCCCTGGTCTCCAACTGCCCCTTTAGGAACTACATAGATTAGAAGCTTTACCTAAAGCAGACAGAAAAAGTTTCTCCCAGTTTCAGAATTATATTCATGATCCAAAGAGAAAATACATCCGAGCCTTAAGAATATCAAACTTATGCTATTACTGAAAGATGAAACAAGCTGCTAAGAGATTCCAAGATGTTTTCATTGCAGAGTTGTTATTACAGTTTAGGATAAGTAAATAAAACAAACTTTAGTGGAGCTGCTGTCACTATAATTCCGGTGGCCTCCTAACAGAACTGCTTTTTGGTGCAGGTTGCAATGCGTGCTTTAGGCTTTGAGCCAAAGAAGGAAGAAATTAAGAAAATGATAGCAGATATTGACAAAGAAGGAAGCGGGACCATTGACTTTGAAGACTTTTTGGCTATGATGACACAAAAAATGGTAGGAATTCTTAATGGAAATTCTTGTGACAGCAGACAAAAAATAGTGAGAAGGAATATCTTGGTGGTAGGTGTTTTCTAATTAATGTACATTTTACTCTTGTTTTAGAGTGAAAAGGATTCAAAAGAAGAAATCTTGAAAGCTTTCAGATTATTTGATGATGATGGGACAGGAAAAATTTCATTCAAAAACTTGAAAAGGGTTGCCAAGGAGCTGGGAGAAAATTTAACAGACGAAGAACTTCAGGTAAGTTCTGATTTGCCAGAGCTTTTCTAACAGGCACAGACTAATCCTGTAGCTCCTAAGGATTAGGAAAATATACGCTTCTACAAAGAGGGCTGAGAGGTCAGAAGTGGGAAGAACAATCAGGTACATAGTTATGTTTGCACATGAAGTGCTTCTGATGAGGAGTTGTTCTCATGAATGAAACATCTTGTGTTTAGAGTCCAGTATCTGATAAACGTACAATGTTTTTTTGTAGGAAATGATTGATGAAGCTGATCGAGATGGAGATGGAGAAGTGAGCGAGCAGGAATTTTTGAGAATCATGAAGAAAACTAGCTTATATTAATATCTGTTGCCTTGCTATACAGCTGCTCCAAAAGATGACCTGGAAAAGACTTAAAAACTGGGCTTGTGTCTCCTACGTGTTTTGTGCCACATAAAGAAAGTCTGAAAGGACAGATTTTTGGTTCATTCTTCTTTTTCAGTAAAGTTAATTGGGGAAGGGGGCAGAGCTTCAGTACCCAGAACTGTTAAAATGAGATACTGCAGAACTGACAAGGAAGGGTGAGCTGAACCTGCAAGGCAGGGTCCCTCCTCTGCGCCCTCAACAATTTCACTGATTGCCATTTTGGATGGAGAACGCTATGTTTTGACAATTTAACTAGAAGACATTTCACTTGAGATGGGAACATTCACACCGCTGCTGGGAAAGGCCACTTTTGACTTTCCTAAGGCTACAGAATGAAGGTACAAGCCCAGTTTTCTTACTCCTTTTAAGGCTTTTCAGTTATCTTTTGGTATTTGTCTCCTGTTTATTTCCATGAAAGACTCTTAAAACCAATTGTGTTATCTGTATTTCTGTATGAAACACTGTTTTCCCATGGCAAGTTGTTTCTGAACCAAATAGGAAGCAAACGTAGATAACCAGATTTGGTTCTTCATTTGGAGCTGTGTGCCATCAGTAGATACTCTTCTGCTTATCTGATCATCTGAAACCTAGATGACTTGAATGTAACATGCTTGGATTATCAAAGTTTTTTGTATAACCAGTTAACATCTTGTGCCATTGTTTTTACTCCCAAGACGTAAGAGAGCTGCTGTTATGCCAGGATTTTAGGTAACTAAAAAGTTCAGTTCTGTGGTGCACTAGGGTAAATTTTGTCTTTGGCTGTTTACAGTCAAGTTGCAGGGAGGACTTGCATCTGAAGTCAAAAAAAAAAAAGCTCACCTTGGACATCTGGGGAACACTGAATATATTTATATCCATGCAATTCAAATTCATTTCAGATATCACAGGTTTGGGGTTGGGTTTGTTTTTTTTGATTTTTTTTTAGGAATACCTTCATTTTCTTGACTATTTCTTGCATATACTGTCAATCTATGGTTTACTGGAGAGCCACATTGCCTTCTGTGTAATGGTGACAGAGCAGTGACACACAACATGACATCCAATTATGTGGCTCTGCAGGAGGGTTTATCCTTGGGTCCTGATTAGACAATCAGCTTCCAAACTGCAGGGAAACGGTATAACCCTAAATCACGTCTCTCTCAAATAAGGCACTTGAAGGACAGTTTGTCTCTGCTCACAGTGAAGTGGCAAGTAGGTAGCCAAAGGTCAGAAGGGCTCAATGGGAAGAGAAGGGGGAGAATATTTCACCAGTATCTGTTAAGATCCCTCTTTTCTTCAGACAGCTGCTGCTGCTTGACAGCACTAAGGAGGTTTGTAGAAGAAAGGAAGAGCCAGTTCCTGGATTAGCTCCTCAATGCCACTGCTGCTTCAGCTCTCACGAGCTTTAAGAGCCCAGCAGGGGGAGAATTAGTTTCAGGAGCGGAAAGAAGTGTTCACTTATGTATCATCATCTCAGCCTGACGATGCTCTGCCCCAGTGCTCCCAGTTGTGTACTCTGAACAATTCTACACAGAGCCTCTCTAACCTGTACAGAAGTAGGCTTCAACCTGTGGGGGAACAGCGATTGCACAGGACCCTAGAAGACTGGAGACCTGTGAAGTCCCCTATTAACCAACATATTCAGTGGCAGTAGATGTAACCTATGGTACTGTAAGCGTTTTAAAATGTCTATTAACTTTGTATAAGTGTGAAATAAAATTGTTTTGCAAGGTAAGGACTTTGTGTGATTTATAACTTGGTGTGCTTGCTACAAAAACTAAATTTTCCAAACTAATTTTGAAGTATTAAGTGGTTCACTAAGTACATTTCACTTTCTTTCTAAGAGAGAAATTCTTAGGTGCAGTAGTCTATCACATAATTCTCCCTCTTCCACTTTGCTGATTAAAAGTTTCTAGTACTAACCACTTATATTCAGAAAGGGAAATATGCAGTTCTAGTTGATTATGGGGAATCCCACAGCCTATTACAGTGACTGTACTTTTTTTAATGCTGTCACAGGAAGAGATTGATGACTGTTGTTTACCTATGATGCACATCGCTTCTCTCTTGCTGTTCTAATCCCATTACCTAACTTCTGAAGGAAGGAAAAAGACAGACAATCATACCACATAGAGTGCAACAATGAAATGTTATTGCTGGTGTATTTCTCTTTAAGGCTGGAATGGCGAGCAATGGCTGAATTAGCACACAACTCGCGAGCGTTAACGTAACAGAACAAGTGTCTCATGCTGCATGAGGGACATCTTGTCCCCTCTTCAGCCACCTGCACTGAGTGTGATGACTGACAAAGCAATATCGACAGCAGCCCACAGCAGTGCTGTGGTTCTGCCCAAAATCATTTTTGGTGCCCTTGTGAATCCTTCCTGGCCCTTCTAGAGTTTTTATCTTTTATATGTCTATAGATAGTGGAGGAAAAGCAGCCCAATTGAATCCAATGGCAGAACTCAGAGCTGGGTTTGTGTGAGGAACAGGCGCTGAACTGTCCGTTCAGGCATTCCATCCTTTTGCTGTGCAGGAGAAAGTGACTCAGATCAATGAACTGGGAAGGAACTCAGCAGGCATTTTTCCTGGGCTCTGTTCTAGTGCCTGCTTGCGTAGCTTACCCTAAATGGAGGGGTTTCGCTAGAGGAAACAAGTCACTTACACTCCTCTCCTGCTCTTGCCATTCACTCTGTTCTCAAAAATAAGAGCTGGGGCACTTCCATGAGACCTGGATTCAATTCCTTTGCACTAAAGCACCAAAAAGGAGGGAAAGCAGGGATTTGGATTATCTTGTGTGAAAGGACCCAGCCCTCAAGGCACTTGAACCCAAGTGGTCATCAGCGTGAACTGACTGGCACCTGGGGCAGAGGAGAAGACTTCAGTCCCAGCCCTCCTTCATGTTCCCTACAGACTGACCTGGACAGCTCCAGGGGTGGGGGAGGCAAACGGCTCTGAATTGTCCTGGTTTTCAGCTGGGACAGAGCTGGTTTCTTTTCAGTAGCCAGAACAGGGCTGTGTTTTGCTTTCAGCTGGGATTTGTTATGAGAGAGACACTGATAACATACCCATGTTTGCATTTGTGTCACTGGGAGTGAAGGACTCTGTGTTCTGACAGTCTACAAGGGCAAGATCTAAGGGGCTGAGGAATATTGAAATTAATGAGCTCAATTGGCATTTGGCTCTGCCAATGGGATATTCCATCTCATATCACATCATGTCCAGTATATTAGTGAGGGGCTCTACCTCTTTTGGCCTCTCTGGCTTTCACTCGGGCTCTCACTCTTACCGGATTGTGGTTTTAGTTTGGGATTGTTGCTCCTCTGGGATCGATATCTGGGAACGGGCTGCGCTTGGTCAGTGGGTGGTGAGCAGTTGCACTGGGTATCACTCATTCGTGTATTTTGTTACCATTACCATTACTATGTTAATATCGGTATTATTTTAATTTTTCTTTTACTTCAATTATTAAACTGTTCTTATCTCAACCTACGAGTCCCCTCACCCTTGCCCCCAATCCTCTCCCCTATCCTCTGGGGTGGAGGGAAGTGGGTGGCAGCTGCTGGCCAAGGGCTAGACCCATGAAACTATCACACTCATCCTTTGCATCCCTTTTCCCCTTCATGCCAACAGAGAGGCTGGGTTCTTACCTGGCATTTGCAAATTCCCCTCAGATGACTGCAATTCAGACGCCGCAGAATGTGCATCCAGTGGAGATCCTTCCTTCTGCAACATCAGCAAAGCCCGGTATTCAGTATTCGTGCTCATCAGATACTGTACAAAAAGGAAAGCAGAACTGCAATTTGTATTTGGCAAGCACCTAAATATCAAAGCATTCATAAGGGTAATAGCTGCTTGAGAGATACTGCAGATGACTTGCATTGAAAAGTGTTTTTAAGTGAAAAGGTACTGGGCTTTTCACAGAATCGTAGGGGTTGGAAAAGACCTTTAAGATCATCGAGTCCAACCACAAACCCAACACAGCCAATTCCACCTCTAAACCATGTCCCTGAGCACCTCGTCTACCCGTCTCTCGAATACCATCAGGGAAGGTGAATCCACCACTTCCCTGAGCAGCCTGTTCCAATGGTTGACTACCCTTTCGGTGAAGAAGTTTTTCCTAATGTCCAATCTCAACCTCCCCTTTCATATTTTTTTTTAATAAAATAAGAAATAGTTCATGAGAAAAAAGTGTTCTTGCCAGTTATATTCCAAGATGTGCTAGTTGCACGGCAATATTAAACTAACCTTTCCTGTTATCTCCCCTGTGCAAATAAGTTCTTTATCCTCTCTCAGCCCCACAGTAAAGCAAATATTCGGTTTGCTTTAGGAAAACAAAAATAAAAATAAAATAAAATGTGACTATCTAGTGTCCAAAGATGTTTTAAGTAATCTGAGTTGGCAATTTGAGATACTAAACTTATGTGCTTTCTTACCACATCACAGTCAAAAGTGGATAAAGGCAGCAATCTTGAAGGGCATTCACTTTGCAGTTCTACCTGTGCCAGAGGTGTGTCAAACAGCACAGGCCAGGCACAGCTGAGTGCAAAAGACTGGAGGAGTCTTGCACTGCCCAGGGTGCTTCTCAGGTAAGCCTAATCTTGGGATTTAAAAGAGGATGGAGGGAAAGCAACAGAAGAAACCCTTTGTGTATTTTCACGTGCCTAGAGTCCTACTAACAGAGCTCAAATATTTCAATAAATGAATGAGGCATTTAATATTAAAATATTTTAATCGGTCATTTAGAGTTTGGAATAACTCTCATGTCCTGCAAACTGCCCTGGTGAAGTCACACCACCTATTTGAAACATTCGGTATTAATTCCCCGGGAACCTCCTCACTGAGTTCATATAAATCAAATATTGCCACACTACATTTGCTTTTAAAAACCCCTGGATAGCATAAGTGGATTTTGAGAAGGACTCTGGCATTAGGAAATGCTCTGGGCCAGAATTCATCACTGCCACATTTGACACACAGAAATGCCGGCAGAACACATTTTTCTGACATGGCTTAAGTATTTCTGTGACCCCAACAAAAAATTCTCCAGTACCCTACTACTTAAATCTACTCCAGGTGCTGGCTGGCACCTTTGGCAATCTTTGCAAGCCTGTCAGCATGATGCATTACCTTTAGCTGCTGAATTTTTTGCAGGCATCCATTCTCCCAAAATATCAATGTTAAAGCCAAAGCAGGACTATACAAACTGCATCCAGGTATTGCTGCCAGTGTCCCCCCTGCTCACTCAGAATTTATTGTCTCT